ATATATTAATTATTGGTAATATAATATATTACTACTTGAGTATCTGCAGTTACATTATTAACATCGATTATTGATTTTTAGGCTTTGAGGAGATTCTTGTCAGACTTGTATGCTCTAGAATTTCTGTGTATTTTTTTTTTAAAATCAGGTGCATATTTTAAACTGCATAGGTTCATGTGTGACTGATTGAATCTCATAAAGTCTTCCTAAAAACAAAAATTGTGACTTAAAATAGCACTGCATCCCTCTCATAAAGCTATGGATTGCAGTGGGATATCAGGTAGCAATCTAATTGCATGGTTCCCAAATGAGATGCCACAGCAAACTCACAAGGGCGCCATGGGATATTTTATTACTTAACAACTGGAACTGTTAATGAGTTTACTACAGTGCCCCGGAGTGTCATGGCATACAGCTTGGGAACCTCTAGGGGAGTCCTGAACAGAGAAAGCTTGGGAACCTCTGGTCTAATTATCTTGTTGTGTACCATTTTATATATAAGGAACCTGGTGGCCTTTGAAGAAACCTCAGAGTTTCTAGGGACTCAGTTTGTAATTACACCCATTCCTCTTTTAGTGACTACCTTGGTTAGCAACCATTTGCAAATAGAAATAAAAAATTCATTTTCCAACCAGTGTGTGCATTTGTGACCAAACTTTGTTACCTTGGTTAGCAACCATTTGCAAATAGAAATAAAAAATTCATTTTCCAACCAGTGTGTGCATTTGTGACCAAACTTTGTACGCTTGACAACAGTGCACACCAGAATGACAGTAATGCTGGTGTAGCTGTACAAGAACTTTATTTGAATGATAAAGAATTCAGCAACCAGTGATCTTTGCAGTGTGTGTGTCTCTCTCTGTCACACATTCACTTAGCGACCATTTCACTTAATAATCTGGTCATTAGAATGGAACTTGGTTGCTAAACGAGGAGTGGGTGTATTGGTAGAAAGGAAAATGAGGAGATCTTGAATTGGATTCATGAAATAACCTGGACTGTATTTGGTCAAGAACTATTCACTAAGCCCTGGAAGTTGAGTACTATGCAAAGATAGAAAGCGATAGATTGTGGAATCAAATTTCAAGCACAATAGCTCTTTGGGCTATCATTTATGACAGGTTATAGAAAAATGAATGGTTGCAGACATAACTAGATAACTTTTTTTTCCTCTTCAGGTTCCTCTGGGTCATTTAAAATGACAAATTCTGGAGATTCCTTTATAAACCTGCAGTCACTCAGTTCCTACCAGAATTCACCAGTGGGAGCCAATGTGCAGTCACAGGTAGGTGTAACAATGTTGGGGTAACAGTCCTCTGTGACCATAAATACTTTAATCCAGGTGCCCAGGGCATGACTCTCATTGTAAGATAAACAGATTTTAAGATTTCCTGAACAGTAAAAAGTCTGTCTATAGCTACTAGGAGACAGGTTATCCCATAAATAAATGCCTTTTGGGCCTTTGACTTGATCTAAATCTTCAAATGCTTCCTTGGACAAGGAAGTACTTGAAATCTTCTGTACTGGGCTAGAACTGGCTGCCCTTTGAACTTTTGGCTAAATGAATTTGGTTCTGTGCCTGGCCTGTAGCCTTATGAGGACTGGTATACGTGGCCTGATTGTCCATTACTGTAATGTTGTTGATATATTCTCCTGGATTTCAGGGGGAAAGGTAATATATGTGTACAATAATGCAGAATGAATGTAGCTATACATTCCAGAGGAAGAGAATGGGGTTGTCTTGTTTCTTGTTTCTTGTTTTTTTTTGTTTTTTCCTTTCCCAAAATTGGTGGGCACAGAGAAGCCATATCATTATTTTTAAAAAACCTTGTAATATATGTGTACAATAATGCAGAATGAATGTAGCTATACATTCCAGAGGAAGAGAATGGGGTTGTCTTGTTTCTTGTTTCTTGTTTTTTTTTGTTTTTTCCTTTCCCAAAATTGGTGGGCACAGAGAAGCCCATTCATTATTTTTAAAAAACCTTATAATGCTAATAGCAATCTCCTCTTGGTAACATGCATTTGTATCACATTGTTTAAATCTGCAGCAGAAAAGCAATATAAGTAGTTAAGAGCTGAGAATAAATGTGCAGCCCAACTGGACACTAAAACACGACAGATCATAGAAAGGAAGAAGGGTTTGGGGCAGCAACTATAGCATTTACATAATTGTTTTGGCACTTTTTTGTTTGCTTGACAAATTGGTCATATTGTTACAGATGGATTCCTTACACCATGTCATACACCAGGCAGGAAGATATGACAGCATTGTGGGGAACCCCCTATATTCGACACAGCGCATTGATGTAAGGAGCTTCAGATTTTGAAACTGAATGTCTTGAGCTGCGGAAGTCTGACATGGCAGTGTTGGTTAATATAACCACCTCTGCAGATGCAAATAAAATAGAGCTCTACTGCGGCATTAACTGTGGTGTTGCTATCACCTTGCCACAAGACAGTGCTGCTTCAAAGAGTGGGGGAAATAGGCAGCCTATTGCTAGTCTTTGTTATTCAGGGGGATCAAAAAAAATCCCTCATGCGTAAACTGTAAGAAAATCTTTCTCTGCAAAGAACCGTGAATGGTTAGGGATGGTCAGAAAGAGAAGCTGGCTTACCTACTCATCCATTTTGGCCCAGTGGATTAGAAGGAAGCATCTTCCAATCCCCTCCCATTGGAGGAGAGTGCTCCCATAATTGTTTGAGAATCAACAGGCAGTAAAGCTTTAACCATTTAGACAAGTTAGCTGGAGAAATTGGGTGAGAGGAAAGGAGTCCCATTTGGGAAAAAAGAAGCCATGACACAAATACAGCAGAAGCAGCATTCACTCAATATTTTACCTTCTGTGTCCCAGAAAGTGAATTACAATGTGAAGATGTTTGCTATGAGGCTAATCATAATGGAACAAAGTCCGTCTCTTGCACATGGCATAATGCTCTCCTATTGTAATTTGGGAAATCATAATCAGAGTGGTTTAAGAGGCAAGTAGTAGCACCTTGTGGACTTAACAACAAAATACCTTTATTCCCTCTTCAGGCTAATGGCAGCTGGCAGGACGCTACTACCCCTTCATCAATCACTTCACCTACCGGAGATCCAGGAAGCATTAATTCAGATGCATCTAATTAAATTTTTTAGGACCTGTTGAGGAGAGGAAAGAGGTCATTAGTGTATCTTGTCAATGTTGCTCTTTTTTTTTTTGCCAATACTTTTGATTCTACAACTTGACACACACAGCTAATTACCTCAGACAAAATAAAAAGAAAAAAGAAAACCAATGGAAGATTGTGATTATATATGGACACCTCTCTACCTCTCAGCATGATGTGCTTGAGTTCTTCTGACTTCTACCCTTTGGGTTCTAAAGGAACTGGCTTCATTTACCAAAACAAATTGTTTTTTTAAAAAATGAATTACCACTTTTATGCTTAAAAGTCGTCTCCATTTTTCCAGTTTTAAAAAAATGCAACTGATTTTAATTTCTATGTGTTTTTACTATAAAAATTCTGTTTTAGATGCTAGTTACTAACAAATAGCCCCTCTTGTATTGTAATTGTATGCGTTCTCTGTATTGTAATTTTCTAGAGGAAGACTCTTTCTTTGAACTCATTAACCAGAACAGGCTATTGCTTTACCAAAATGATTATTGGACTTTGCTCTTTGAGTAGAAACTTCATCTTCTGTGTCACTCTCATGTAGCTCTAATTTAATGTCTTAGAATATACACAGACTTCTCTGTGAATAGATTTTTGTGCATCTAGGAAAATGTTAGTAGCAAAGTCATCACTTTCAGTTTAAATTTTATCAAAGAATAAACTTCCAAAGTCTTTTTTTTCCTTTCTGCCTTTTTCCAAGTTTTCCTTCACATTTGACAGATGGTATTTACCAGTAGATTGGGGTAAAAAATAAGAGATTAGTTCACACTGCAGTCTCTTGTATCCAGACATATCCAGGCTATAGTGATGGGTACCCTTTGGCCCTCCAACCTTTTGTAATATACAATTACTACCTTCCCATAGTCATGTTGGCTGAGGCTCTTGAGAATTAATGTAACTAAAGAAGTTGATGAAATTTCTTGCCATGGTTACTACTACCATGTATGGATGCATACTTGTTCATCTGTTAACTATCAAATATTAACTGTCATTTGATGTTTAGACCAATCACATATTTTCCTTTTTGGAGTTAAGCTCTATGGAAAATGACTCTACATTTGCAGCAATCAGTACCACTCAGTAGATTGTCCAGTACAGTACTTAAAATAGGACCAACAGTTTCCCACTGCAATTGCATCAACACTTTGCACTTAAAACAACTTTGAGGAATGTGTTTATTAACATGATCCACTGCTAAACATCTCTAAGATGAAATAGACTGGTCTTCCCCAACCAGGTATTCAGTTGGGAACTCTAATCTGAAACTTCTGGAGGCTGCCTAGTTGGGAATGGCTGGTATAAATAAAAAGCCTGTTTAAATGTGTCTGAAGGAGTAGATCGGAGACATTGACAATTACCCCAGTAATTGATTTTGTTGATAGCTATGGCAATTCAGATTTTAAAGTTGAGAGGAATCTTGGCTTATGCAGCAGATGAAGCATTTGCTATGAGTTTTCTTTTACATTTTGTTTCTTTTGGTGTAAAGATATTTCTTTAAACTAAGAAACAGATGGTTGTTTTAAAAATTTGAAACAGCATATTTCAACTACTTTGAGTATCAACTACTGCAGAAAAGGCTGGCAGAGCAGTGTCCAAACTAAACATTTTCTTTCAGTGATGGACCCTGGATTTGGCTTGTTTGCTTAGAATTTAACTCTTCCCTCAGTTCAAAAATATCTTGACAGTTAGTAGTAACAGCATATTTACTGTGTTAAAACTTCTTTGCCTACAAATGATGTGTAGCTTGATCACTTCTGTTTTGGTTATGTCTCTTAACAATATAGATATTCATTAGCATATTCTCAGATGAGTTAAGACTATTTGGGGTAGGGGCTATTTTTGTTTGATTGTTTAAGAAGCTGATAAACTATATAGCTTTCCAGGGCCTCCAGTAATGGTTGATCATCAAAAGCAATTTCTAATTCCTGTGGCATGATGATCTTTCAAACAGACATCTGCATGTGACTTGGGCACAAAGCTGTTCCTGTACAGAAAAAAAAATTGAGAACACAGAAGAATCCTCATTTTGGCTGTTTCCTGAGATTGATTCAAATAATGTGTGTTAATTTCCTGTAGTTACCTCGATTTTTCATTTTCTGGCTATTCTGACATTTGCCAAGGGAAGGGGGGCACATTCACATGGTAATTAGGTGTTCAGAGAGACTACTTTATAAGGGCCCTATAAGCTAAAGTATCTTTTTTTGAATAAGCCAGAAAAAGATGAAACATACTTCATTTTATCTTTGTGAAATTAATTCAAATACCTTACAATCGTTCCTGTCTAAGCTCTTCAAAGGAAGAGCTTGCCATTGCAGATCCCATTTTTTCCAGTGATTGTTTTGCCGTGAAGTATTAAATCAGACCCGTCACCCTCCGCCGCCACTCTCTAGCAGCTATAACGATCACGTGTTGGATGTGACGTCGTATTTCCTGGATTTTAAAAGGAGAACAATGATAAGGAAGACCCAGCGAATTAAATGTAAATTTTAGAAATCTACAATTGATATAAATTGCCTAACAATATTTTCATTTTAAAATGGAAATATGAAATACTGTAATACAAAAGTTGATACAAGTTTCAGCACTGAGATAATGTGTGGTGGACCACCTTCAGGCTATCGGTATATAAACATAGAAAGGGACCGATTTACCGGTCTGCTGGAGTGATTATGAGAGTTGCCTTTAGAAATAGAGAAATCTGGAATTCTGGCGTCGGGCCAGCAGTGGGAATATTTTTCTGCAATGTCGAAAAATAATAAGCTTCTATACAACTGAGTAACAGACTTAAGCAGGAGCGGGGCGGGGGGCAGATAACTGAAGCGGACCTATGCCGCCAACTTCCAGGAGCTTCTCCGATGTATATATACCGGGAAAAACAACCCTCCATCCTGTAACGGCAATCGAGAATGAGTTGCTTTTGCACCACAATGTTTAATATGAAAAAGAGAATCACTTTTTAATCATATAAAATGAAATCTGGTTAAAAAAACAACCGACTGCTCCATTGTTTCAGGGTGATAGATGAAGAACATATGCTATATAACTGCAGAGATCCTGGATTTCTTCGTTTTTCTGTACCGGTTTCTTTATAGTATTTCCTCTGTATCGGAGGTGGGAGAGGAGAAAATATTTTTGTAGTTATGATTTCCAAATATAAACATTTTCCTTATTCTGCAAATGCTGGAGGACAAGCAATGGGATGAAATAAGCAGAGAGATGTCGAGAGGTGGGTTGTGCAACCAGAGTACTCCAAACGCTTTGGATTATATCGGCCCCGGATAACGGCTGTTGTATTTAGAAGTCCCCAAGGGTCTCTTAGTGTCTTTTCTTTTTTACATTCTGCTCCTGCAGGTGATACAAACGCGCCCATAAAACCCCAAAAAACCCAAACTGGTGAGAGGAGGCTTAGTCCTTGATTGTTAAATAAATTACACTCTCCCCAAACACTTCAGACTCTACGGCACGCAAACGGGAGGCTGAGAAGAAATACGCATGCGCCAAAGCAGCCTTGTTAAAACAAAAGCCCGCCTGTCCTAGAAAGCTATTGGCGGGGGATGGTCAGGTTGTAAATGCGCATGTGCGGTGGCGGGCTGATTTGATTTTATTTAGGTGGAGGTGAGAAGAGTTGTGGAAATGGAGGAAGGGGAGCTTCGTTCGGGCTAGTAAGTGGGTGGCGGCCTCTTGCCTTCTGTGTTTTATTCCCACGTTTTTTTCCTCGGGCTTTCCCAGGCGCTTCTAAAGCCTGGGAAAAACGGTTGCTTCTTAACGGTTCAACTCCCGTCGAATGACGGGTTGTGTTGTCAGGCAGTGACGTCATGGCGCTTCAAAGGAGCGTGGGGATGGAGCCCCCCTCCTTTTAGACAAGTTAGGCTACAAATATCGATCCGTGAGAGGCTGATCGGACACTAGAGCATTCAAGGGGGGCTTGTAAGTCTAAGGGGGTCATACCGCAGACTCACTGCTTCATCGCTTTGTTTACGTTTTCGGTGGCGGGTGGGAGAGAAGGAAGAGGTAGTCGGCGTGCAAAAGTAGGCAGCGTTTCTTTATCTGCAATACCGATACACTTTTGACTGGAGTGGGTTTTTGACGCTGCTGCTTGGTGGGACTAATGTCTTTAAATGTAGGGCTAATGTATCTGGACTGTAATGTTTTTCACTACTACTACATGTCCAGTGGTCGTCTGGATATTTGCAGCCCAGATATGGTAGCCCTTTTGACCTTCTTATAGTCAAATATTCAATAGATGAAGGGTTCTTAGCCATTCCTATCTTGCATTTAATGTTTGTTGTTTAGTGATTGTTTAAGGCCCAGTGGCAAATATAGACAACACTTTCTTTAGCTTGAGCAGGCTGTACTTACTGACATTTTCTTTCTATGCAACTCAATAGCCTCGCCTTGATTCTGGGTTTTCTGATTGTAGTTCCATATACTATACTGTTGGGGAAAATGCTGATGATACTTAGATGTGTAATGATTGGATAGTGAACCAACATCTGGGAAATTCCTAAAAAGCAATGTTTGATTGTAGTTATTTAGATTAACTTTGTTTTTAAAGGTTAGAAAACCAGGCTTAATAAGAATTCTTTGTTGTTAAACTTTTCAGCACAGAAGGTACTCTTCCAAAGGATTTGGCTCAACAGGTAAATGAAACTGTTAACTAAAAGTTTTAAAACATATAAGTTTTAATGCTCTGGTAAGAAACTTTAGGATTAATTCAAATGAATCCATACTTGGGATTCCTACATTTTTCTGCTGTTATATAGTAATCGATAATTCAGTTTGTATTGTAGTGGAAGGCCAAGATGTATCAATCATCTATAAAATAGAACAGAGGCTATATATTTAACAGAGGCAATTCCTTGTTCTTTACAGTTCAGGGGTTGAGATGGAAAAATTAGGCTGATTTAATATCTGATAGATCTGACTATGCATTCCATTTATTCATCTGGGGTTGGCATTACCTAAGAGGGAAAAGAAGTATCGGGTGATGATATCTAAATGAAGTTATTGAGCTATTTAAAGATCAAATGTAGTAGAATATGTAATGCATTCCTTGTTAAGCATAGATAGTTTTTTGCTTATTTTTATATTTGTTTCCCATTTGTGTATCTTTTTATCAATCTGTAGCTGTAAATCATGTGAGAATCCTATGGAACATTGTGGGTCCGTATAAATATTTATGGAATCAGACTAAATAATTTGGGAAGCAATTGCATTGTGTAGAGTTGGGCAAAAAAACACATGAATCTTTAAGCATGCTGAATCCTTTGAATAAGAAGAATGTTCTTGGAGCAATAAAGAAAATTACTGTGCTTTTCTATCACAGCAGAAACACCAAGATAACTTTGTTTTATTGTCTGGTTTATTGCTTGTGGAAAAGAAAATGATCTAATGTTATCCATAATGTTTCATGAGAAATATGTATTTTTGGTTTTAGACCAGTTCTCGAGACATGCAGTCTGCCTTTGAATGTGGAAAAAATGCTGAGATACTGGGTAAAAGAATTAAGACAAATAACATTTTTTTGTTTGGTCTTCTGCTACTGCTACTCCCATAATTCTTAGCCAGCATGGCCAATGGTAGTGGGCCCTTCTAAATCACCAGGTTAAGGAGATTGTACAGTCCTTCTTTTCCTATCTCCTTGTCCACTTTTTTTGGAGCTTATGTATCTCTTATTTCTGTTATACTTTGCTTTGAATAATCCTTAGGTGAAAAGCAAATCCAAAATATTCTTAATGTAAAATAAATTGTACTGATAGAACATTCCTGTGTCAGATTCTTTTCCCTCTGTTTACAACCTTTTTTTTTTTTTTTTTTTATCCTGCCTTTATTATTTTTATAAATAACTCAAGGTGGCGAACATACCTAATACTCCTTCCTCCTCCTATTTTTCCCACAACTACAACCCTGTGAGGTGAGTTGGGCGGAGAGAGAGTGACTGGCCCAAAGTCACCCAGCCGGCTTTCATGCCTAAGGTGGGATTAGAATTCAGTCTCCTTCTTTCTAGCCTGGTGCCTTAACCACTAGACCAAACTGGCACATGTTTTAAATTTATATGGTTCAAAAATTCAGTTGCATGCTGACTCTCTTGTCATTTTGCTTTGAGTTCCAATCTTTTTCTGTTTTGACATGAAGTATATTTTCTCTACTTTCCTTGTTTGCAGAAAATGCATACAGCCAAGAGACAATGGCTGCCAAATGCTTTGTCAAACCAGATAATATTGCTAGTTGTAGCAATGGGATCCCGCTTGAAATGACAGCCAGCCATTCAGTGAAGTTGGCAGAGTCTAGCAAACCGAAATGCCATCCAGAACCTAGTCTGAAGAATGGGTGTTGCCACGGCCTTGAGGAAGCATCCCTGCAGGGTATTGGTCCTGAAACAGGCCATGCTTCAACTTTGTTTAATGTATCCTTTGGACAGCTCCCTAGCCCCAAAGTTGCACGTCGCTCCTTGAGTCGCCACAGTCTGAAACTGGGGGTTAGTCGCCGGAAGTCACTGCCGCCTTTTCACATGGACATTTTTGGTATGTCTTATCAGTGCAAATTTAGTGGTTTAGTGATTAAGGATGAATCACTTTGTAGGAGGAAGGCAAAATGAGTTGAGTTCTTGAAGCTATGTGAACTACTCCTAAACAGATAGCACCCTAAAATTTGCTTCTAGCTGAACCATCCAGCAGGATGCTGTATAATACTGGGATTGGCCTTTTTTTTTTTTTTTCTCCTTAAACGGACTTTCTGCCTTCCTGGGGGGAACAACCCTTGACATTAGATTGGAAGAACTGAAACTTTTAATCCCATTTTTGTTTGGGTTTTTTTTTTAGCAGAGCTAATGAGTAGAATAGATGCCTTAAGACCATGCATTTCTTAAACACTAAACACTAAAAATATTTTCAAAAATGTTAGTTCTGCCCATTTTGAGTGGCTTTAAGAGTTCCAGAGGGCATGTTCTGGTGCTATATACAGGCCATTGATTGCCCATTCCTGGTGTAAAACAGTGTTCACCTGCCCTTCAAATAGTTGCACTATGATTTTCAAAAAGTGCTCTTTACAAACTCAGAGTTAATTAAGGAGTAAAAACTGTGAAGTATTTTGGGCATAAGGCACTCTAGTTATTAATCTATTATTTCAAAAGCTGGTGTTCTCTAAATGTGTTGAACATCAAGTCACATCAAGCACCAGGTTAGAGGGAAGCTCTGTCCTGTAATAATGCTTATCTGTTCAGAAATAAGTACTGTGTTCAGTAAGGCTTGCTTCAAGGTATGCTTGTGGGTTGTTAGAAATCTAACTTGTCCACAAATATTAGGCATACTGTGGAGTCGCTAAAATATAGTAATATTAATTTGAAAGACGAATTATTTCCCAAACTGAAATAATAGCCAAAAATGGCAGCTATTAAAGCACAGCAATCAGACAACTAATTAACATACCACACAATACTGGAAAAAGACATTAAACTGTGGAATAAAATTGGCTAATTCACTGTACTTTAAATGACATTGTGCTGAACTTTCAGAACTGAGTAAGGCAATCAGCCTGGATTTGCCAGAGGCTGACAGAATGACAGCACTTCTTCTTTCGAGTTTCCAGGTAAAGTTCAAGTTAAATCTTAATGGAAGATTTAACTCTGGAAAAGTGGTGACTACACAGAACTGTTCTTTGTGGAGTGTGGATTCAGTGGTGATGGTAGCATGACAGACGCAGCAATGGGGAGGCCTTCAGGCTACATATTGTGTGTATGCACAAGCCACTATCTAAACTAATGGCTCTTATTAGGGTCAGTCCTAACTAGCAGTGAAGTTCTTATTGTAAAAGT